ACTCGCGCTACGTCCAGACACATATTCATCCCCTGGAGAGTCATTTAGAGAGAAAAATATAAAATATCCAGGAAATGGAAAACGATTGAGAGACAAGTACAGCAAAACAAAATTTGGGGTTGCACCACACACCCGCATTTTCTTGAGATTCAGCAATTCGACAGCTACTTTACATACAAACTCACAAATAAAAGCTAAACTGCTCCAAGAAACCAAACTACTTCAGAGAAATAGATGATACGAGAAAGTCATTTGATGTGCACATCCTACATAAAACCTAGAACACGGTTCCCTCTCTCTCTCAGTTTGTTGGGGATTGGTTGTTGGAACAAACTAAACCAGATAAACTCTTGTCCTCCTCTGTTTGGGAGAAACGATGAGATGAAGAGGAGAAGTGTAACACAAAAGGATGCAATTCTGTCAGGCTGAGCAAGTAATCCTTTAAGATCTCCCCTCAAACTTTATAGCCAATTTTGCCCGGACAATTTTATGCTAACATCTTCTACTCCAGTTAAATCAGCGGAGAAAGCAGATTTTAAACACAAACAATGCACTGCTCTCCTCCTCCATTACAAACTATGTAGCACCATTGGGGTACGAGTATCTGTATAATATGCATAACAACCTTACATAATAAGTATGCAGATCTGATGTGAGTATTTTCCTACGTCTGATGTTTTCCCTCAATCCGGCACTTCTTTTATATGAAAAACCCGTATTTCTTCCTAAGAAATTGATTAACTTAACAGTACAGTTGTACAAAATTTCCATGAAAGCAATGTCGTTTCACTTTATTTGCCGGATATTTTTGGCTTTTCGATAAAATAATTAAACAAATTATTGCTTTCGATTTCAATAACTTACGTTTGGACAAGTGTGAAATTCTAATAAATTATTTCACTTCATACACACACTTTACATAAAACGAGTTCATGAACCCAGTTCTGGACATATGAAAAATATTAATTGTGTTCCCTTGAAAGATGTGCGAATATCTGTACTACGAAGTAAAGGTCATAAATTATTCGCCAAAGTGATATATTTGGTGTTGTGGAGATGTCAGCCAATGAAGACAGAATTAATGGCCTGCGTTTTACTGGGCCGAGTGGTCGGCCACAGAGTTGTTTACAGCATCAAACCAAAAGGTTTGATGTTGCAAATTGAAGCCCAATGCAAGATTTTATACAATAATGCACATTGTTGTTAGTTTATTATTGAAGTTATGAAAGTACACATGAGTGTACCAGTACATGGCCAGTAACTGTATTGCATCTCTTTTATTCATTTAACCGACTTGTTAGTAAACTCCGAAGATGAAAGTATCAAGTTGAATGAGGGAAATTGTAACTCTTGACACGCCATCCAAGCACCTCTCCGACGTATTTTTATCGGTCCAGGTGGTCACACTTGGTCATTTCAATTTGTTCCATATTTCGAAGCTTCTGCTCCTGCTGACCATCTTCGGAAACTATAATAACATATGCGTTCCTTTCCTAAATATCGATTTTTATTGAGTAGTATTACCACCATATTATTCTTTCGCTTTTCCATGTGCAGAGAAAATATTAAAGAAGAATAATATGCCGTGTCAATATTCGGGAAAAGTTTTCAAAGTTGTTATAAATCCTTCAAGAAATATTTGTACATATCTCGTTAACTTTCACAAGACGTAAATTATCACCGGTGAGACTGACGAATAATTAATTGATCACTGCGTCCATTTATATAGTCAATAAACACAGTCAACAGTATTTGAAGACACTAGATGCAAACAACTCAAAATTTTGAAAGTGAAAGCATTTAATGTGAAATACTTTGTAGAGACGATTCCAATTTGATGTACCGTTTTATACAATGATTTTGCACAATAAGTACTTCCACTCGACCCCTTGTCCAAAATCGACCAGATAATAATTGGAAACCTGGATGGATAGATAAATGTTATCGAGAGAGCACGTGAACTGGATTTGATGTTTCACTTTTTTATGAAGGAAGGCGAGAAAGATTTTGCCTACTCTGTATGTATGACTTGGTGGTTGATAATGTTATGCATGATATGAGTTTGTGAGAGTGTTGAGAAAATTGAGAACTTTATAGCACTTTTATTTCATATTATTCTTGACATCCAAGCACCTCTCCTGTCGATGTGGATCACTTTATGTAATAATATATCACATCAAAAAGTGATGGGAGAGGATGAGATGGATAAAAAAATTCTCACTCCACCGGCGTCTCGACCAAATCGCCTTTTATCATCGTAATAAATATACTGCTGCATCAAAAATTCTTTTGCTTACATTAACTTCAGCTACTGCTGCGTGTGGAGAAAAAACCAATGTCAATTCTGGTTTTTATGCTCATATATTATTAAAATTGTTGGAGAAATTGGACAAAATGTATCTGTGTTGAACTTGGTCCAACAATTTTGAAACTAATGTTTCCAGAATTTTGTAGAGCTAGTTGAATGAAAATTACTGGTATAACTGTCGTTCGTATTGAACACAATATGTCGGGCTTATGCGTATGCTAATACAAACAATGATTAATAAAATAGTTAGATAACCTCCTCAAGGCATTTTGAAACTTTGGAGAAAGAGAGACAGACCCCAAATCCATCCCAAACAGGGAACATACAGATCAAAGAGAATGTTTCTTTGTGTTCGTCACGTCTGAGGTGAGGAATAATGCATCGCCTACACCACCCACCTGCCTCCCGTTCCCGTCCAAAATCAAAACGACAACGACTGATGGAGCCGGATGGCAATTTTCTTTCTTTCCTCAGCCAAACCTTTGCGTCTTTGCCAACACGTTCCAAATTCAATGCGTGTGTCACCGAGGTGGGTGACAAGTGTTTGGGCAGAAATCATATATTATGAGACACTCCATCCCATATTATGCAGAATGGAATGAAAATTCATATTTCAACATTTGCTTGGTTTCTATCTTTTGACTTGACTTTCCCCGCTGCATGCACCATACAAATTCAAATTTGGAGAAATTTCCTTATATCTCAGCAAGTGTGCGCATTTCTGGGAAAGTAAAATAGGAAAAAATTGTACGGTGAAGGTTGAGCCGGTTAAAGAAAGCTGGGCGACGTAAGATAGCGTGAGTTAGGGTGAGAAGAGAAAGCTCAGCCGAATACGTAGGAGCTGATGATGGGATAGTGCAGGACGACGAGGCGAGAGTGACTATGGCTCAGTAATGGTCTATACTATGACTCGGCTGGTGGAAAGACTTTTGGTTTTCCTCGTGCTCTCGAGAAAGGAGACTTGGATACATTTGTATTCCAGTGACGTGGTGAAAGTCGTGGTAGGAGAGAAGCCCGAATTTGAATATCCGATCTGATCTCACAGTCCGCATCTTTTGCACTAATCTTCACACAACTGCTTTTCGCCGAGGTTTAAGAGTTTGCGTTGTTAGGACCTGGAGATGAGATGAGCTGTGATCGAAATGACGTCCATGGATGCGATGCGCCATGACAAAGGAACATCTTAATCGTTATTCTTCCCTTGTTACTACAATTTACGAAATGTATTCTTACCCAGCTACAGTTTCGGGTACATGACCATGTGCTATGATAGGGTTAGTATGCATATCCTCCAAATATGCATTTTTTGTCACAAAAAATAATTTGAGATTGGAGTAACTTAATTTATGTTTTTAATTGCCTCGTCTAGTATGACTAAAATGAGGCTGGGCAGAAATGAAAATTTTTTAGAACTAGAAATGTAATGTGCAAGACATATGCACATATGTACTTATACAAAATCGGAGCCTATCACTCTTCATTTTACGCTTTAGAGAGGGAATCGTTAAATAATATGGATCATGAAGTGGCGGCGAGTCCTCGTCCCCTTCTTCCATATTTCGTCTGCTTCTAAATGTTTGACGAGAAGCTAGCTAACGAGATAACGAAACCGTCGAAACCTCAGATTGAATTTGCACATGACGACTTTCTACGTCTCAATGTCTCGTGAAAAGCTGACGCTGCTGTGAGTCTCATCATCCTCAAGTCTGGTGGTTGGTCGGGGACCATTAGGAATGAGAATTGGAATTACCAGTATTCTCGCTCATAGAGTGAGACGGGCCGAGAAGGGAAGGAAGTTATATCACGACAGAGAAAGTGCGTAGGTACTAAAATGTTAACCGTGCGGCACAGTGTCATTTCTTGGCAGGAAATGAAGACCTGGTTGGTTGAGTGGAGGATGGATGCATTGACTCGAGGGTTGAGTTTCGAAGGAGGGATGAAAATAAATTAAATGAACCGACGAGAAACTTTCATTCAGAGCGGAGAGACTTTACTGGTGGCTCTGTCTTGGCTTTGTTGGTTTGGTTTGGTTTAGCAGCAGGCAGAATTTCACTTTATAGGAAACCTGCTCAAGTGCATGGGCGAAGGACAAATGAAGACAGGCACAGGACGGTGTGATGTAGATGCTGATTAGATGAGCCAAGAAGAAGAAGAAGGAAAACTTGTATGCGAGTACATATAACCAAACCAAACTTTGAGCAACCAAGTCAAACTACAGTTAAAGTCATTCTTTCAGTTCATCTACTCTTCAAGAGTTCTGTTTGGTTTGCTCTATTTACTTTTCATTAAAAGGCTTTGTTTCGTCCGATTGTGGTTTGCTGCGACATGTCCGACAAAAATCGGCACGAATTTTCTGCTTCAACCACAAATACGAACTTCGTATGTATCTCTTCGGACTTGTTCAGACTTTTGAACTTAAACTATACTTTGAAACACAATGAAATATGTTCATGGTCATTTTTAGCGTTTCAATGAAAATTAGTTTGATAATAGTTTGTCTCATAATAGGCAAAACCTGGTAAAAACTGACAAAATAAGGAGAGATACTTCTGCACTCCAGAAAGCACAGAAATGAAGATACATATGTAACAACCTTCGGAAAGAATCGATCTTACATTTATAACTCTTCATGTAACTCTCTGGTTTTGTAATAATGCAAATGAAATGATAAACCCTATCCTTTATTTATCAGGGATCAGCCCAACTACCTCCGTGGTCTTATCATCTCCAGAACGGGCATCTGATATTCGACCAGGTGTGGACGTTGTCTTAAAATGCAGAATAGAAGCCACCACCTCGGACATAACATACGAATGGTTTCGGTAAGTTTTTTTAAATATATTTTCGTGGTTATTACGTGTCACCCAAATATACTTGAATATCTACCCTTACGCATTGCTAATACTAGTAATATTACAATGCATGACGGATCGTTTATATAAAATATCAAAACCACAAAGCTAGTAATCTTGTTTTATAAGGATCAGATTTATCAGTGCTCATCAACTGTGCCTGGAAAGGTAAAGGTTAAATGTGATTGCACAGAGGTTATGTTGCTTGTGTAATTTAGTGTAAAGGGATAAATACGTAGTACGTATGTAGGCATAGCCATATGCTCAACAACGTGTGCAGGAGATACATGTATACACACTTTCTTCTAAATTGATTATGTTTGCTACTTAGGAAAGTGCGGTGTCCTTTAGAGATTTAGAGCAGTGTACGTAGTACATACAACAAGCAAGCAATACCACTGAACTAGTCCGCTGGGCACTTGTAAAATTTTATGGGTTTCCATTAACTTAATCCTGACGGCTGATTCTTCACCCTTTCGCACCGAGAAGAATTGGAGCTAATCTGTTTGATGGGGTTTCCATGTTTTATGTACACGTTGTTGTTATCTCTTTCCAGAAATGGCGATCCAGTTGAACGATCCGAGAGAGTGGCCAGCCGAGGACGCAAACTTCATCTCAACTCTGTCACCGGAATGGAAAATGGTTGCTACACGTGCAGCGCAAAGAATGACATTGCCGGAATTTCAACTCCCGTGGGAAAGTTTCCTCTCATCGTTAAAGGTATGCATGATGAGGTCTTATGCATCGATTTATTTGTTTAATGGGGTGAAATTTCTGAACAATTTTGTAAACAATTTTGTAAACAATTTGCAAACGAGACAGCAAGCATGAGACGTGCCTATCTAATATCCTGCAGTGCCTGTCAAATTGATACAGCGCTTCATTCTCATTATTTATGAATAGTTACGAGTATTATCGGATGATAAATTGCTTGATAATGACGCCGGAGGTAGTGAAGGTGTATTTTTTCACAAAAATTCAGCTCAGCGTGCGTCGTGGCACCTTGAGAGTCCCATTCTCTGAAAGTGTAAACGGAAATGGAGCATTCTTTCTTCTGCGCCTTTGATTTTTTTCATGATAATAATGGATTCATTATACTAGAATGCTTTCATTCTTCTACCTTTGGCATCACAGAACTTAAGATGTTTTCATACAACCTCAACCTAATTTTCTTTTCAGATGAAAAAATTCCGAAAATCCTCTTGGTTCCGGAGGACCAGATTGCGAAGAAAAATGAGTCCATTCGATTCGACTGCGTCTTTGAACAAACCACTTTTCTTCAATGGTTCTTCTACGACAGTGAGCCGCTCTCTAATTCTTCCAGGTACGACTAAAACTTCACTTTACTACAGCTTTCTAATAGAGAGCCACTTTAATATTGTTTTAAGTACTTGTAAAACTTGCAAGTAAAATACACTGTCGATTTCCAATTCATACATACTTTCGTACGACTGAGGATACAAGCAACAGTCCCAAAAAGATGGGAATCTTAGTGAGGCTTGGTACAACTACAGATATTAAATATATTTTCCGGAAGAGAATTTGCCTCACCAAGATTTCCATCTTTTTGGGACTTTGTTTATTTAATACTTGTAATTAACCTTATAAAAACTAATTAATTTTGACCTGGATACCATTTAAAAACGGAATTAAAAATGGTTTCTATTGCATTTGGGGGCGGATTTACTGGGGGGCAGAATACCATTGAGACCGACTTGTGGGGCGGTGATAAAATCAGTTGGGGACTGAATTAATGCAAACCGATTTTGAATATTCTACTGATGCAGTTATGATTTATTAGAGACCTGGAACTGATTCGACAACAAAAATTAGAACATAATACATTTTTAACATGAAATTGCAACTGAACCAAATGAACACACGATATTAATTTTGATAAAAAGATCGGATTTGATTTTGATAGTACTACAAAAATAAACTAAACGAATAAATCGTCATCATTCATGTCATCAATTTGATGACACTGATTTTGGGATGCATTTTATATTTTAAACAAGTTATTAGCTATAATTTTGTCCTTCAGTGTTCTGTGACTTGTTCCGATCGGTGGTGACACTATTGCGAATATATTAGCTAAAGAGAACGTTGTGATAATTTTTAAAAAATATGAACTGTATCATATTTACAACATGATACAGGTCAGAGGTCAACGCCGACCAATTTATTAGCGGCGCCAATGTTGGATAATTTTTCGGGGGCGCGGCGTGACCTCTGATGCACTTCCTCCGAGTTCCTCCCCCCACTACAACTACAACTCTAAACTCTAAAAAAATTAGTTCAGGCTTGAAGAAAAACCAACGACAAATAAGGAGGAAAGAATGGAACTGAGAAAATTTTCTCGGTCATTTTATTTTTATTTTTTCCTACACCTTATTGATGTAGCCCGGTCTCAACGGAATTCTGTAACCATACACCTTATTGGTGGAATCCGTCGCCAACGAGAAAAAGTTGGCCTACACCTTATTGGTGTAGTCCGTCGCTAAGGCGAAAAATGTGGCCTACACCTTATTGGTGTAGTCCGTCGCCAAGAGATCGAAATCGCCCTCCACCTTATTGGTGGAATCCGTTTTTAAAAGGTTAATAGTTTTTCTAAGGCGAGACCCAAACGTAACCATGCACCCAAAAAAAAATACGTGCATGGTTACGGCGAAGCCATAGTATGCAGTTAAGTGCCCACCTCAAAACAGTCAGATAAGATTGTGAGAGAACAATTCGTCGTAGAGACATGCGGTTTCGACCAATGGGTAGTAAATTCTGTGTAGTATTGATTATAGATCTCTGGGCTTAATCGGTTCATACCTTCATGGTGTATTTCTCGTTTTAGTGACTTTTTTTTCTGTATCTCAAAATATTCCGCTGAAAGTGAAAAATCGGCAAAGGGGAATCGAAAGGGCTTAAAAAATTATTAAGATCATTCTTTAGGGTCATGAAAATCGGATGTAAAATGACGAAGTTAAGGAGGTTTGAAATTTTTAAAATTCAGTTGTTACATGCATAGCAACAAAGGCACCAAAATTTCAAAATTGTGTTAGAAAGCTGAAATTTGACATAGAGGTTGATAATGGTTTCTAATATAAAGTAAAATTGTAATAATTTTCATCTGGAAGGACCCAAAGGTGTGATACATACTGATTTTTCAAATTCATCCAATCAAGCTGAAATTTGGTGTGGGGATTGCTAGTTGCAACTAATAGAAGAATATGAATTGAAATTTAAAACATTCTTATCTGGAGCGACCCATACTGATTTTTCAAATTTATCAAATCGAGCTGAAATTTGATAGATAAATTTGTAATGGCTCGTAATGGAACAATATGAATTAAAATCGGAAAAATTTTCATCTGCTGCAGGGGCGGCCCCTGCTGTATGGGCCACCCAGTGGGTGGCCCATACGGATTTGTTTTAATCGTCGTATCGAACCGCAATTCGTTACATATCGTCGTTGAAGCTGCCAAAAGGGCCTTCTCCATTTTGTGTCAATTGACATAAAATGGAGAAGGCCCTTTTGGCAGCTTCAACGACGATATGCTGCCAATTGCTACTAATGTAAGAATGTGAATTTAAATTAGAACCATTAGTTTTTATTATAAAAATGTTGATATGCATTTATGATAAAATTTTGTGCAAAAAGTCGGATTGGGTGATAATCCTAATCTTTTCCTGACTCGGGCTATGCACTGTGGGTTTTTAATGGGAGTTAAAAAAATTGTTCACTTAAAAACTCCAAAATAAATAAATTTAAAAAAATAAAACTAAGGCGAGAGGCGCTATTACAAACACGAAACAAGCCCTCCCACCAACACCCCCGTCTCGCCGTGGCCCCATTAATATTTTTATATCTGGGGGTGTAACCATAATTTATGATTCAAACTTTTAACTACAAATGTAAACTGTATTTAAGTTGATAAATATTACAATTTTATATTGCATTGCACTTTTAAAGCCTATTATCTGCAGTTCTTAATACATTACATTTACATTACAGTTACATTAATTTCAATTTAAACATTTCTAGCATTAATCAACAGAGTCCTGATAAATATATTCTTAAAAACCCCGAAACACGTATGTAAAATGTTTGATAAAATATGTATAAAAACATTTTTTAATTAAAGATGTTTGATTAAAGAAAACCTATACCTTAACCAAGATCCTAAAGTTTCAAATCTGTCCGTATTGTAGCTGAAAAGTTTGGAATATACCCGGTTCATCAACCGTCGTAGAAAAATGAAATATTTACTTCTGAAAACCAACTTTTAACGTAGGCAATCATACATTCTGCATTCAGAAATTTCTAGCTAGCAGATTTTGTAGTTTGATGTCCGACATTTGTGTGACAATTTTATGACACCATCACGAAAATGCATGCACCCATGGTGGCATATATACCCTATTATAGGTGGTTTTTTAAATCGTTTTGTATGATGCAGGAAAGAATTACAAAAAATAAAATTGTGGTTACACCCCCCAGATATAAAAATATTAATGGGGCCACGGCGAGACGGGGGTGTTGGTGAGAGGGCTTGTTTCGTGTTTGTAATAGCGCCTCTCGCCTTAGTTTTATTTTTTTAAATTTATTTATTTGGATGTTTTGTTGTCAATGGTGTTGCTATTTTATTCATCCAGTTTTTTGAACCTCTCATAGGAAAAACTTTGTCATTTATCAACCAATTTGGATCATTCTACCCTTAAAATTTGCACAAAAATTTGCTCTAAAATTTGTGCAATTGGATTTTCGCTGAGATATGCCAGTAATTAAGTATAAATATAAATGTGTTTCTAAGGGTACATTTTTGATAATAAGTCGGCTGAAAATCAAAAATTCGCTAAGTCGAATCGATAAACTTTTTTAAATTGTCTCAAAATGATTTCATCCAAATCGGTTGAGAAATGGCTGAGATATCGTAAAATGTCACTTTTTTTAACGATATTAACTGCATACTTAGTAATTTTTTCGTTGTTAGGTATTTGCCTCACTAAGAAAAATGTTGCTTCCCAATTCTCTACAATCAGGAACTGCAAAAGTTCTGCAATTCTGCATCGGTGAGACTTTCTCCATCAAAGTCAGAGAAACGTATCTTCTTGCCATTGCTACGTGCTGGTCTTGTATAACCAACCATCCACCTACTTTTACATTCATACATACCTGCAGCAAATACCACGAATAACCCACTTTCTTCCCTTCCAAAAAACTTATGGCACTTTCACTTTTTTCCAGTTCTGCGAAACTTTTCCATGTTGCTCACTCTCTCGAGAGGGACTAATGGCATTAAAGGCGGTGATATAGCGTCTTATTCCATACTTTCTTTGCCATTGAATTTCTCGCCATAAGTTTTAATGACCGTTAATATAAAGCACATACCGAGACTGCCTGACTATTACGAGGGAGCAACTATCACTGCGAGATTGAGTGGCACACGTTGCTGCTATTTTTTTGGCTAACAATTTCCTGACTTGGTTGTATGCGATGAAATGAGAAGACTTGGCAGAAAATGCTGCCATTCTTCACAACTTTTCAAGCAAGAAATGGACGGAGAAGACTTCTACCCCGTTTTTATAGTTGAGTATTTGACTTTCAGCTTTCTTTTCACTTGTTCATTCGGTCTCGATGACTCCTTCCATTCGCTCACACATGAGCCAAAAAATATCTCATATCTCCATTACAGCGCATTCCACATTTCTGCACGATGCTCCTTCTTCGTCTTTCTCTCCTGGTGTCCATTGATACTGGATTCTCGAGTGGGAGAAGAAGGAGTGGCAGAGGAAAGTATTTATCTTGAAGGAAGCAATACAGGTGTCGGGAGTCAGCCACAATCGCGAATTCCTCTCCTTCCTCAGCAGCAGAATAGTGTAGACTTCATCCATTTGCTTTCTATATTCTTGAGTACATTATGCAACGAATTCACGAGTTATGAATGCTGCTGCTGGTGCTGGCTGACTGACTAAACATTTCCATTTCACATATCCTTTGTAATTTTATGCTCTACACTCCAATCTAGCAGAAGTCTTTCCAGGAAAATATTACATTGTGCTGTGCAATTTATTTACTCATTCTTCATTGTCGTCTCGTCCTTCTACATAGTTCTCCCTTTGGTGTATTATTATTTTCTTTAAGATGAGTCGACCTTTGACCTCTCGTATTTATCAACATAATCAAACGATCCCTGTACCAGCACGGATCCACCATGTACGTTTTATTTTGATATCAATAATATATATGACGACACGAGTTGGTTTGTACGTGACTCGGTATACGAACATAGGTACGCGTATATGCATACACAGTTTATATATCACAGAATG